ATTTGTTACAAACAAAAATTCCTTGTGTTGTTTGTCTAGTTATGTTGCCCCCAGATAGAATAATATGCTCTTATGGTACACTTTTTTTATAAGTAAATTGTATATAAGAATATTTAGGGTCAGAATAATCCAGCTTTTATCATCCAGGATTGTTGCACAGTGTCTCATTTTTCAGCAGTTGCCTGTCTTGCCATGTCCTTAATTAGGAATCATAGAAGAGACATGTATCTTGTCTCTTTAAAAAGCATGTTGGCAAGGCTGCCCTGGAAAATATTTGTTATAAAAAAAGTTTGTTATTAAAGAAAAAAGTGTATATATATCAGACCAATACATTTAAGTTTCACTTCCTTCTATCAACATCATAGATTGCTTTGATGCCTACTAAAAGCGTAAGGATGTTCAAAAAGGCAACTTACAAATCATTAACACAATAGTGCTTTCACTCTCAGAAATTGATATATGACCAAAGTTAATAGCTAGATGCCGTAATCTAACATCTCTTAAGTTTTAAACTCAAATGTTCCCACACCTAGTTTTCCATAAACTCCCATCAGAAGACCATTGTAGGAAAAGGAGTGGTCAAAAAATGAAAATTGCTAGTAATCTTTACAATTTTGTATCTTTACAATGAATGGTCAGATTGTGAATTGCAGGGCCTGGCATGAACCACATTATGCATATGATGTACTACACACATGACAATATCTTTATGCTGTCCATGCCCTCAGTTTGCCTGTTGTGTCCATGTCCATGCCTTTATCGGACATGAAGCAAAGGTGAAATAACCATTCCAGGTATTCTTCTTTCAAAAGTGCGAGTCCTGTCTAATCTGCTTTCTTTCTTTAAGATAAATGATCTCATCTGTGATGTGATAGATGTATGTCTTATTTTATGTACAGAGTGTCACATAACTACCTTAAAATCTTTGCAAGGGAGCATTATTGATTGTTCGTACAATGGTGTAAGACTGCATGCTTGCACACGGTTACAAAGCCCCTGCCCTTGAAAAGCCCATGAAAACATGCCTTACAGTTAATATAGATATAAAAAAAATTTTCTTTAATTATTTAAGACAAACCACTTAAAAACAACAAGCATATTAATTACATTCCATCCATAGTGGTAAAGGACTTATTGTCAGCAAGTTCCCACTATGTATGAAACTTAAAATTCAATTATGGCTGTTGTCTAACAATTGTGGGTGCTTTCCATGAATAAATTTAAATGATGAATTTAATGTTTGCAGGAACATATTCAAAGGAAACTTCAACATATAATTAACATATTACCTGTGTGATTATTCTTGATTGATTCAAGAACATCTCATATTCTCTACTTGAATGTCATCTTTGAAAGATGAGCAAAATGAAAACAGATCTAAAGGAAAATGCAGTTTTGTGAATTTGCAGCACTGCTATTTAAGAATTTCAATTAATTTTGAAAATGCAAACAATGATGAGGTTGTATTAAATCGCTAAACATATGAACACCCAGCAAGAGGTGTGTTTTTTAACAAAAACAAACAGTTAAATGCACTGGAGTTGAATGCACTTCCAGTTGAATGCACTGGAGTTGTTGCAATTATTTCATATATGTTGCACTAAATAATGATAGCTAGCTCAAAGTACCAGATAGAGCTGTCTTTTAAACAAGATTGAAGATATCAAAAGAGAGTATGCCATGGTTAATTGCACTTTTTCCAAAATACATATTAATGTTTATAATTATGTTCAGTCAACTGTGTCAAGTTAGCACTACTGTAAGATCCTACATTTCTGAAGGGACCTGCTTTGTGAAGGGATCACATTTAACCAAACAAGATTTTTATTTGCCATTTTGAGGTGGACTGTTTATTCAGGTGCAGGATCTTCATTGTACAAATTCAAGTTTCAAATTCATTAATTCATCAACAGTTACTTACAGGTATAAGATTCTGTATAAGGTATAAGAGTTAAATTTGCTTTAAAATTTTAACATTATAGCATATTTTTAATTAGATAGGGGTGCTGCCTAGGCCACTGAGATAAACCAGGCTGTTTTCAGGCCCAGTGCCCTATGTTGTATAACATATAATTGATAATAGTTGTTAAGATTACAATGAAATTCACTGACAAGATCACTGACAAGTTTACAATGAAATTTTTCATAAGGATTTGAAGAAAAAACTGATGTTAAGGTGGATTTCCTCTTCATTATATGGATGGAAAATAGTAAATGGTTCCTAAAGTTTCCTGCTATCATGTGCTAAGCATGTGCTCATGTGGCCATATCTCACCTAATTTGTATAATCTTTAACTGATCTTTCATATTTAGAGGTAGTTTATGATGCTTCTTCAGGTTATCTGATCAAAATTAAAAAATTCTAAAAACAGATTTTTGTGACATTATCACTTAGGAATGTTATATGATCATCTAAATGCTACTGCTTTATTCACAAGCTGAAATATTTGGGGGAGGGGGGGGCTTCCAAGCAAGCTTTTTTGAACTTTTCTCATCCAGAAAAAGCTTTCAGAAAATATATAGTTTTATAGCATCCAAATGTTTGGTTTATGCTATGAATTTTTATTGAAGGTCAAATTTGGGTTAAAAATTGTTATCGTTTTTGCTTGTTTGTGGCTTATAACCTTCAAATTTTCTTAAAAGAAGTTTCAAACGTTGTCAGTTTCTGAATAAATGAGGTCTTCTTTGAAGAAACACACTCTACAGTGCTCAAGATACTATAATTGAACATCTAAGAATGGATCATGTTTTGTAGTCATGGATTAATAATATCTATTAAGAAAGTATGATTTTTGAAGGCATCTTGAGCTTTTTCTCATAAGCCTGTTGTTGAATTTTGGATATCTCTGGCTGTAAAATAGGTACTGATATTCTATAAAATGAATTCGACCAAGTTTTCAGTCTATTTTCTGGACATGTAAATAATTGAGTATTTGGGAAAAGTGCATTTTTGGTCAAATTATCATGTCTGGGCCCTCTGTGCATTTGAGACCTTGCATATTAATTATTTTGCTATCATCCAAGGAAGGATAGATGAAAATGAAGACAGCGTTTTCTCAGAAGATTGCAAAGTAGAATTCTATTACTTTTGGTATGAAACTTTCAACTTTTTTTAAAAATACTAGGCTTTTGGTCAATGGCAGTAATGGAGATTCTTGAGTTGTGGGGAAAAGTGCTGTGAATTTTGAAAGTTTTGGAATTTTTTGCTTGAGTGGCCTTTTATCTTTTATATGTCATGTCAAATTTGCTGGCAGTTGTACCCAAAAAACTCACAAAATTTCCACCAATGCTTTAAGAGTAAATCAGGGCATGAAAACCCACGCAACCATGTGGCGAGACAGTCGAAGAAAATTTTTCATGTATAAAGCTCTGCAGGAAATTTGTTGAAATATACTCTTTTACAACAAGCAGATTTGTTTCCCTCATGTTTATCAGTTTATGGATGATTTTTGTTCAGTCGAAGGAAGGAAACATTTTTTTCATGCCCTGGTGTAAATTAAGTCAAAGGTAATCCCAGTATAGGTGAACTTTTTCTCTTGTACAAGAAGGTTTCTAGAATTTATTATGTTTTATTTTGTAAGCAGATGAGCAATCTCCTCGAAAGGGGGTGCTCCCTCCTCGATTAGTTTATCTACTGAGAGAGCTCCTCCTAAAGAAATTCCCCTACAAGCAACATCTTATGTGATCGCTATTTATTGTTATTGAGTATTTTATGTAATGTGTTAACATTGTATGTAATTATTTGTAATGTAGAATGAAAAGATACTGTATGTAGATAGATTTTAAAATATAAAACTGAGTTGAACTGAACTGAATCTGTTGCAGGAAAACAATAAAAGTTTTCATTTATAAAAGGCCAAAACATAGCTGTGGACTGTAAATGTAAATTTGTATATAATCCGCCTTTTTTGATGAAATATCCAAAGCAAACATTTAGCATGAATGAACCTGTTATACAGCAATTTCATAATAGTTTTATGATCAACTGAAACTTAGACAGATTACAACATACCAAAAAGTATTTTTCTATCTCGTTTGTTTTAAGGCATTTTATCGTACGTAGGTATATTGGCGAACACATGAAATTTATTAAGTTGAGTAGAGAGTCCGCGAGATTAGTGTTAGCGTCTGCGACTTTTCTTAAGGGTACTTATTGATATTCGAGGCTAGGTGGAAGATGGGTGAACAGAAATATGGCTCTAAAGAAGTTCTGCGTATTGAATCATATTAGTGCCCGTTATATTCATAACAACAAAATCACCATATATCTTTTATCATGCCCTGTGAGTTTTCAGTGTTTCTGTCTTTATGTATGTTTACTGTATAAATCTGTCTAAATCCAGTATAATTCTTTGTGTTGACGTATTTGTTGTTCTAGCTCTCTTATTAATTAATATATGCATTAGCCTTCTATTAGTTTCTGATATCAGAAGTGATTCATACTTTTTTGGAAACAAGTTTGGTATGGGCATCAAGTAAAAGTTCCTTAGACATGTATTCGCTTTTTCCATATACACTGATGAATTTAATGCGTGCTTGAAGCAGGGTTTAAAATAACGTAGGAAACATTAGCGAAAGTTGGTTTATGCTCTGTAGACGATTTTTAAAGTCGGATGTAAAATGACTCCGCCTTAAAGCTGTTCATTGAAATTGGTGTTTCAAATTGGTTTAGGAAGTATTTATAATGCAGGCTGATTAGAAGCAGTGTTTGTTTGATTGAATTCAGAGTTGATTCCTACTTTATCGTGTGTTTGCATTCATTTCCTTGGCAGGTACTATTTAGCAGCTTCATTTCGATCCTTATTTAACTGGCCTATTTGCCTCATTCATATAATTCAACACACTCCATTCATTTAATCAATAGACTCTCATTATTCCGTTCCCTAAATCAAATTATTAAAACATTGACCAAACTCATCGTTCCAACCTCGTCGTTCCAGCGTGATAGAGGCCTGTGGGAGGTCAGCGTTTTCGAACGATTTTCTGGACTTCATTTGATGCATGCTTCGATCTTGTCGGAAGCTAGACGTGTTGTCTTCATGACTGTGATCGGATTTGACATTATTGCATAGTGTTTTTATAAATGGATATTCCAAGCTGACTCAGTGCCTTGAATTTTCCTTATCACCTTGGTTTCATGTAAGCTCTAAATTGGCAAGGATAATGTTTTGGTATGTTGACAAAGTAGCCGTCCTCAAACTGCATTTTGGTCCGCCTTGATTGCCAGTGGACCAGGCTTTTCAATTTTGTTTAAATACCAATGCGTTACCGCAAGGTTTATGGTTTGCCGTCACGTCTTCCCATGTAAATCACAATACAGATGCATCACATTTTTCGGAAGATGATGAGTGGACTGGTAGGAAGACCAATGCAACGTGTTCGCTTGTTTGTCTGCCGTAATTATATCACGTCATTTCTATGATAGTTCCCTGCTTGTGCCACGAACCGTACAACGGCCCTGCCTATCCACATATCTGCCAACCCGGCCTATGCTAGAATTCTTTTCATTTTTTTTGACATATTGTGTGATGTTGAATTCAGATTCCTGTTGATTTTGACATAGCTCTACATCCTATTTGCCTGATTTTATACTCCTGTTTTGATTTAGTCTTTTGGCCAATTTGATCTCTTCTCACGAACATAGTACTATCAGCATTTTATCCTTTTTTAGATGGCGTGACTGTCGTTGCAATTTTATTTAAAGGATGACTTCCAAAACAACAAACTTTTTGGCATTGGTTGCCACTTGGTGTCTCCTTGCCCAGATGGTCAATTGTCAAGGTAAATTTAAATCAACGTCGTACACTTCCCTCAATCGTCTTTTATGTATTTGGAGACATATTCGATTTTGATCATTCCAACAAAACAGGGTGTCTGTGCAGTTTAAAGAAAGCAGTAAGGTCGTTAGTGATTTGTAAAAATGATTATGACCACTTGCTCATCGAGGATTCTATCTCCTCAGGTCAAACCAATAGAGCAAAGATTTCATGATCTTTCAGACACTTGAAACATGCTTTGAACTGATGGGAAAGATAATGTTGTATTTGTATCTACATGTTACCATATTTTTATCTTCCTATCATCCTGAAATTGACCGGCATCTTCTTTTCAGGCTACCGTCCAAGCGTCAAAAGGGGACCAACGGATTCACAATACCGTCGTGGAACGGCAGCCAAGTTGCCTTGCGATGTCATTGGTGAACCAACACCTGCCGTGACTTGGTACAAGGATAATGTACCAGTTGCACTGGTGAACAGAGTCTCCAAGCAAAGCGACAACAGCCTTTTATTTAAAAGAATTCGTAAACGAACTGACGAGGGTTTTTACTACTGCGTTGCAAAGAATGTTTATGGTGAAGACAAAAGTGTCAAAGCCCATATCACTGTTATGTGTATGTAAAAGTAGTTTGATAACAGTCACATTTGTGTTCTCTTTGTAGGGTCAAAAGCCTATCACTGGAAACTCTCATTTTTGTGATCAAGATCAGTCAGATCATATAGGCACTTCCTGCCTCCAATTTTGCTAATGTCAGCATCGTTGTTTGGAGTCCTTTAATTAAATTTTGCTGTTTAAACTTGAAACACTCAATGAACTGACGTTTAAAGTTTAATATCCTCTTTCGCCTAGATATGAGTCGAAGATTCAAAGTGACACCACAAAGCAAAAACGTAAGCTTGCTCAGTGAAATAAGCCTGACATGTGACCCACCGGGCGGAAGCCCTACTCCGACTGTATCCTGGAGAAAAGATTCAACTAATCTTCAAAGTAACAGTCGAATTCGGACTGAAGACCGGTTCGGACAAGTATACTTTCTGCGAATCAGCAAGGCGTTGCAAGAGGATACAGGAAACTATACATGTGTTGCGAAAAACGAAGCCGGTGAACGTGTTAGCGAACCGGCTTTTCTACGTGTTCTAGGTACTTAAGATATTTTCAAATTTGGTTTTATTTTTCTTCGTTTACCGTAAATTTTCTTCTCAATAATGATAACTATCTGATTATTTTCTTTTTGCTGCTGTCTAGAGGAACTTTTAAGCTCAGACTTTACTTTTCATATTCTGATTCGCAAAAGATAGATATCTATTTCTTTGAAATGTCTTTGAAATGTCTTATTTTGTTAAATTCAACACTTTCGATGTTTTTAAAATCTAGGATAATTCTCAAATCGATGGTCCAATTATATTTAACTAATTTCAGTTATTAAAGTGTTCTTTGTCAGTTATTTCAATTTTCTCTTTCCTTTGCAGTTCCCCCTGCAGTTAGAGTTAATCAAAAATTAGTGACTGTTAATGAGCTGGAGACTGCAGAGTTGTCCTGTGAAGTCAGTGGTGTACCCTCTCCTGCCGTTAGTTGGTACAAGGGTAGTGAGGGGCTTCCATTCTCAAAAAGATTACTGTTCAAAACGCCGGGCAAAATTCAAATACTCAGTGCTCAGAAATCTGATGCCGGTGTTTATACCTGTAGAGCGTCCAATACCGAAGGTTTTGCGGAGGAAAATATCAGTCTCAGAGTTAAAAGTAAGGCCCGTTTATGCCATTTATTCTATTTCGAAGTTGTCAGCAGTCATTTATTCTTCAAACCAAGGTAACAGACGCATAACGCATCAGGACGCATAAACTTTATCCTTGTGTATGATATGCGCGCCCACTACAAGGTTTTTTACTGAATGAAGCTAAACGCAATAGAAAATCCCTAGAAATATTTTTTAGCACGTAGAATGGTAACGAGCTGTGACTTCTTTTCGTTTACATAATCCTTGACTCTTGGAATTATTTTTTCCTCTGCTACTTAATAATAATAATCTTATAACTGCTTGATCATAATATCATGTGTTAGATTACGGAAAACATCAAATAACCAAATAACTAGAAACTGAACTTTTGTATTCACGTCTCGATGCTGCTTACTTTTACTTTCCACTTGTTTTGCAGTGTTGCCAAAGTTTTTAACCAGGCCTGGAAACTTAAAGGTTGGTGTTGGTCAAAATGCGCGATTTGACTGCAAAGTTGAAGCAGAGCCAGGTTTTAAGATAATCTGGCAGAAAACGGTTGGTGCACACAGCGTGTTGTTAATTCGAGATCAGCTACCTAGTAGAAGAATCACTGTGGGTTATGACGATTCATTGTCCATCAAGAATGTTCAGAAAAAGGACGAAGCTTCCTATGTCTGCACTGTAATCAGCGAGTTGAAAACTGCGTCGGCCACTGCACGGCTCACTGTAGTTGGTAAGTTGGTTGTTTGGCCGCTTATGCTCTATCATGAGCACCATTGCAGCCCAGTTGTGTACTGTCTTGTTTGCCGTTGCCAGCATGTGCGGGATTTTCAAGGGACATTGTCCTCTCTCTCTCTCTCCCTTTCTCTCTTTCTCTCTCTCTCTTTCTCTCTTTCTCTCTTTCTCTCTTTCTCTCTTTCTCTCTTTCTCTCTTTTCTCTCTTTTCTCTCTTTCTCTCTTTCTCTCTTTCTCTCTTTCTCTCTTTCTCTCTTTCTCTCTTTCTTTCTTTCTCTCTTTCTCTCTTTCTTTCTTTCTCTCTTTCTCTCTTTCTCTCTTTTCTCTCTTTCTCTCTTTCTCTCTTTCTCTCTTTCTTTCTTTCTCTCTTTCTCTCTTTCTTTCTTTCTCTCTTTCTCTCTTTCTCTCTTTTCTCTCTTTCTCTCTTTCTCTCTTTCTCTCTTTCTCTCTTTCTCTCTTTCTCTCTTTCTCTTTCTCTCTTTCTCTCTTTCTCTCTTTCTCTCTTTCTCTCTTTCTCTTTTTCTCTCTTTCTTCTCTCTTTCTTCTCTCTTTCTCTCTTTCGCTCTTTCTCTCTTCGCAATGCTGGAAAACAACCCCTTTAAAACAGATGTGCAATTGTCTTTACGTTAACGGGCAACTTTGAATTTTTGGTGATGGGGCCACTGATGGGACGCGCAGTCGGAAAGAGTTTACTTGTTCCTCATTCTAACCTTAGTCTGACATCAAGTTTTGACCAGTGTGTGGGGAGGCTCGGCGACGACCCTCTTTGTTCCACCTTGCTAAGCTGTTGCAATGTATATAATAAAACAGAGTAGGCAAATTGCTAGCCACCGTTGAATTTTCGAGAGACTTTGGACTTTAATAGGTTAGAATTCCTCTACATTTGCAGATAGTATCAGACCACTTCCCGAAGTCTCCATATTCCCAACGAATCAAACCGTTTTGGAAGGAAGAGATGTCAATGTCACCTGCACTGCTAAAGGAAGCCCAAAACCAACTGTTAATTGGAAGTCAGCCTCGAGCAACGCCAGGATCACCGAAGATACTGAGGGAGTCGTGCTTTTGACAAACGGTTCTAAGCACACTCTGATTTTAAAGGGCGTCAGAGCATCCGATGCAGGGTCATACAGGTTCGTATTTAAACCTCTCTTTGCCATTTTTCAAATTAAAAATTCGCTTTACTCTTGTGACAATACGTAATACTTGGATTGAATAAGGTGATAATATTTTAAACTTCCTTACTGTGTGCAAATCCAGAGGTAAAACTGGGTAAAACTCCCTCTTTATTAAAACATCTTCTAATCAGATCCTTTTATACCTCGTTGGCAAGATCTTATTTCATTTTTTAAAAGCCTGTGCTCGAAAAGAAGCACCTTAGCTTTTCTGTTGGTTTATAAAAGCCTTTTCTTAAACAAATTTGTTTTAAAATGTAAAAGCAATTATTATCCTTGAATAAAACCGGCTGTCCTTTCATGGGTATATTGCATTGCTACCAACAACTCTTTAATTTGGGGCTTCATTTTTTGCGTATAACTACTTCCAAAAAATGGTTCTAGGTGCTGAGACTACGCGCTACATGCCCACACAATACCTAGACAATAACAAAGGGTGAATAATTTCCTATTTGCGAGTTTTCCTAAACAATGCGTTCAAACCAGGGTCGATACTTTGGTTGCGTAGGCGCTTTGTAAAGAGTGGCGTTTGCCGTGCCTCCCACTAAGCCTTCTCAGCTTTGAATGCTCCTCTTCTTAAAACAGCAAAGACAGTTATGATTTGAAATTTTTTTGCAATCGTTCAAGATTAAACAACCCCTGAAGACACGTGGCTATAAAATTAAAGGCTTGATTTATTAATCATAGCAGTATGTTGACATGATGCCTTGGAGCAATCCTATCAGCATCTGCTGTCGCATCGAAATGATTCTTAATGATTTTTATGATATTCAAGTGCTACTCCGTAATAGATAATCTTGAAATCTGTTTGAAGCACAATGAAAATTTCGTTTAGTCATGCTCTTTCTTGACTGATTGCTTACTTTCTTTCAGATGTATTGCCACAAATGCTGACAGAACAGTGTCAAAAGTTGCCTATTTAAATGTTGTTCGTAAGTTATTCCTTATTTTATTATCAAACTAACGTGTTTTTTTGTAAGAAAATTTTCCATAACACTCTTCATTGTTATAACTTTGTTTAAAGAGGTTCGGTAGCCAAAACTTTTAATTCTTCTTTTCTGCTTTTTAGCTGTTCCTAGACTACCGGAACCCCCCGATTACGTCGACTTTCTCAATGTTACTAGCACGTCACTTGTGTTGAGATGGAAGGCATCCCGTAACCCCCCTGGTGCTCCTGTCACCTCTTACGTCGTATCAATTTATGATATGGAAGGGCACGTTTGGAAAGCCCTTGCCTCGAAGATTCAGCAGTTGGAATATACTGTTAAGAAATTACAACCGGGTACACGTTATGAATTTCGGATCACCGCTGTGAACAGCATTGGCAGGGGGAAACCAAGTAAATCGACCGGTGTCATACAGACGAAACTTGCCGTCATGCCGTCGTTAAAACCAGGTAGTTCCCTCATTTGATCAATTATGAAAACTTTTCAGGCAGCTTGATTTGTTTTACGCTTTGATTGACCCTTTGTGTACAACATTGACTGATTTAAAACATTTTGTCAACATTTAATGTTAATGTGATAATTGTTGGTAAATGCGAACTACCAAAGTTTTTTGAAGAGTGTATTGATGGAACATGCGCAGTAAGGTTCGGGATTGGCAGCAGTTTGGAGGGAAAGTTTGTGAAACTTTTGTCTCAACGCAAAAGAAATCGAGTAGCGATTTTAAGCGAGCTGGGTATCAATATTCAACAAACGAGCAATGGAAACAAAATTTCAATTGACCGCATACTTTTACGATTTTCCTCTATGCCAGGATGCTGTCAGTCTGCATATAGGTTAAGGCCTGTATCACAGCTACGCGTAGCAAACGAATCGTAAATTACCATGAGGACAAAATCATTCCGTGTAAGTCAGATACACCTTCGGTTTAAAATCCCATTGTTTTTTTTAAATCCCTGGTAATCTGCTTGTTTTCGTGGAAATGTTACACATTATTTGCAAGAGTGAATGGCCCCTCGTACCCAACAGGATAAAAAATCCAAGCGAGTGAAGCTGCGAGAGTGAGATAAAGAGCCAGTATTTCGCGGCAAAATGGGAGCAACTACGCATGCTCTATTAATACACATTTCTCTGATTAGATTTACACTTTGAGCGAAAAACAAAAGGAAAGACAATAGCTGTTTAAGGTCGCATCCCCAACAAATATGCGGTCAAGGAGAATCTTGAGAACTGTGCTTAATGTCCTTGAATGTTTTCAAAACATTGTTACTGTTTTTGACATTGGCTCTCTGTACTACCGCATGTTTTAATGTCATTTTATTTCTGTTTCAGCTATGACAATAACATCGAAACCAGTCGACAAGCTGTTGGATATAAATCTTTATGTTGAAGTAACTCGAGGCAATAAAGCCGGTGAATTCAATATTTCGTGGAAGGTATATAACATTTCATGTCTCAACTCTATCTCAAATATGAATCTAAAGTTGCACACTTGCTTACCTGGTGTACTAGCTTCTTGAGACTGCAGATGGGAGACTGTCATGTGAAGTTTAAATATTAATTTTCCTGTCTTTTATTTTAGTCTGTTAAGCCGCCATCTCGTGTAAATGGATACGAGGTGCACTGGAAAAAGGCTTCTGAAGACGAATTTAACCACGAGGTTATTCCTGACGGCAAAAGCAATTCGTATACTTTGAAGGACCTCGACTTAGGTACTTCGTATCAAGTCAAAATTCGCGCCTTCAACAAACGATATGGAAGTACTTTCAGCGACTTGAAATCATTTCCTACCATGATAGAGCAGAAAGGTATTGGTCGCATGACTAGCCTCTCCTTTCCATTCCTCTTTTCTCTTCATTTAAATAGTGATAGAAAGGGTGTTCATGGGTTATAATTTTCAGACCACTCTTTAGAATCTTGCAAGTTGATTTTCAACCTTGTCAGGGTTTAGCAAATATGATTAAAAGAGGTTTCGTGCAGTGCTATTTCTGTCAATTTTACAAGTTTTTTATATGGAAAAAATTTTCCTTGTGCTATCGTGGAACACGTACACTTTTGATACGACCTACATGTTTATAGTATTGTCACAAACCAGGCCCCCCTCTTTAGCCTTTGATGTCAAACAAAGAAAACAAACAGGTTTAGTGAGTCTATTGATGGGTATGATGATGATAAGATCGTGTGCATTGAATACAGCCCATGTAAAGGCTTTTGCGCCTTAGAAGTCCGTCAAAATTTGTTTAGAAGATGTCCCAGGGTTATCAATTGATCCTGGTGATTCTGATGAAGATGAGGACCTTATTATTGATTGATTTTAAGAAACTTTCTGAGCTTCTAGCAAACATTTGTATAACATTTTGCTAACAAAAGATGACTTTTTTAAATAATTTTTACTTATGAGGGTCCTTCTAGGACTGAACAAATAAGCCCCCCTCCCACTAGGGCTTAATAGAGCTGTTATGATAGGCTTTTTCTACGTTTTTACAGTTGTTCTGATTGAAAACCTTTAACGTATTAGTGTAACCATTCGTTATTTCTTCCTATAGTGTCTATCCCACCCCCGGACAACGTTAAAGTAAAGGTGCACGGCTCTGGTAAGGTGCTTGTAACTTGGCAACAGAGCAGCGTGAGGAAACTTACTGGCTACGAGGTTTGGCTAAACGTTGTCTTTGATGTTGTATATGTCTATAGGCTGATTTTGTGAATATTCCACTACGTGCCAGTTAAGGAGATTTAAATTGATGTTTTCAGTTTATGTTGTTTGGGGGTACTCGTCGCATGATTCCTTTTATCATTATCATTCTCAAAAATTTACGACAAGAGACAATGCATTAGAGTTCCCCCTAAGGTCACGTGTTAGAACTCGCCGGCTTATTTCAAGGCTTGATTCGTGGCTACAAATGGGTCAAGTACGACTGGAAAGTGTATTTAGTAATACTTTGCAAAAGGTTGGGTCTGTACCGAATGGTTGGGCATGCAACGAAATGGGCTGACAGAGCATTCCGTTGAAAGCTGTGATTTGTTTGTAGCACATCGTTCCTTTTCGTAGCCTATTTGATAAAGTAGCAGACTGCTATTAACAGTTGTCCGATTGATGCTACCAATTAAGAGGCTGTGAATGAAATGCAGTATCTTTCATCTCCTTAGATTGTGTGGATTCCACTAGATGGAACTTCCGTTGAAACGAAAACGGTTCCAAAGAACACGACATTCTATCTGATTAGGGGTTTAGATCCAGAGAAAGCTTACTACGTCACCTTGGCATTAGTTGTAAACAATCAACCTGGTCTAAAAAGTCAAAAACTCCAAATCACACCCAAAGAAGGTTTGTGCACAATGACATTTTGATTACAATTTTGTAAACAACTTGTTTTGTCCTTGTAAAATGAAGCCTATGTAGCCAAAATTGAGGCCATTTTTTATAAATTTTTAGTGTATAGAATACATTCTTCCTGAATGGCACTTTCGTCATTTGATCCAATGTTAATGCTTAGTTGGTCAGCGAAGCAATAGTACTTTCTAGGGAATACCATTACAAAAAAAAATTTTTTACTGATTTTTTAATTACAGTAGAATCAAAGAGTGACACAGGTGGAGAAAAGAGTAAAATGAATGGAAAAAGTGGAGGCGGTTTGGAACCTGCGGAAGGGGGCAGTGGCTCCAGAAAAGCTAACAAAAAGACCTCTGGAATAGTATCGGTTTTGCAAGAGCCATGGTTTATTTGTGCTGCTGGAGGTTTCGTTTTCCTGATTTTGTGTGTCATCCTTATAGTGATTGTTTGTCGAAGAAAGCGTAGAAAACACGAGTCTCCTGTTTTTCTGCCTGTGGAAACAAATGGTAACGAATTCTTTGATTGAGCCTATTCATTTTAAAATTCTTTTCCAATTTATATTGTAAGTATATTGTAACAAATCACTACAAATTACATTCTATCATACCTTCCTAACTTCTTGTTATCATAATAGCGTATCGATGCCGCATTGTATATTGGGTGTAATGTAAAACTTAAAATCCTTTTAAAAAATTTTGTGATTAGATCTTGTCTTTTCGATAGCAACCCAGACCCATGGCGAATTTCAATCCAGTTTATTTTTTATGCTTGCATTCAATTCACTTTTGTGGCCAGGTCTATTGAGTCTATAATCTTGTCTCTTTTTCTTACCAGGTCTGTTACAATCGAATAGAACCCCAGTAAACAGTATCAGCCGCACGAGGTAATTATCTCTGCGATATCATGACCATTACCAATTTATTTTCATTTATTACCTGGTTGCTTAAAGCAATAACATGCTTCATGCTTCCAATAACTCTACTCTACACACGATGGTCAACCACCTCCCTGATCGATCATTACCCACCCTCTCCCTTCGCAAATTACTATCCTAATAATACCTGATTGCGTTTATCACGATCAATTTTTCCCCCTTGCTTTGCGTTTTTTATCAATTGTTTCTCCCTTGCAGAGCCAGCTATCGCGATTCAGCCTTTCTCTGGGGTGAGCACGAGCCCGTTCATGTCCCAGGATTCAGTGTACAATCGAATAAGCCCGGCTTCAAATCAATTAATGGAACAGTGGAGGTCGAATCAGCCAATAAATCCGAATTTAAGCCGCTCTTAGGTAATGATTTCTGTATTTGCAACGAACTTTTGTACCATAAATACAGTTTTGTTGATATTGTTGTTGTTGTTTCTTTTAAATTGTTTCGAACATAGTTGCTAGAAGTTTAATTTTTCTATTGAACTGAATTTCTACGACCGAATTTCGTATAAAGATAATCTAGATGAATGTTTAGCTACCTTTTCCTCCCCACAAGTTTTCTCTTTTCAAACGCATGTACCCGCCATATGAGGATCTGTCATACGTGCCTTCGCATTTTGAAAAGCGTTGTGTTAAACACAACTAACAAATCGAAGCTCTGTGTGTACTGTGAGACCTTGATTATGAAACCATTTCATAGATCGCTGAGCTCTTTCGCTGTGCTGTTTTGATTTGTAAATGTACTTTGCTAGAATATGCTTTATAAATCTTTACTTAACCGTTTTTCTACCTTCAGGGGGCAGGAGCATCGATTCTGGTGAAATGAAACGTAATGCGGGCGGCATAGAGGCTCAGAGGCCGCTGAAAGAAGCAAACAATTTAAGGAAGCCCGGTGAAACTGGTAAAAAAGCTAAATTGAAGTTTTATTGATTAGACTTCTCGAAACGATTCGCTTTACAAGAAAAGTGCTTGTTCAAAAGTGATACCGAACAGAAATAAAGTGGTACATAAATTTGATTGAAACCGTTATAAGAACCTTGTAAGCATATGGGCGAATATGGCTCAAAAAGACCACTTAGGATAGAATAAGAAAAGTAGCAATTAGGATGGCATTGGAAGATGAGTTTGATCTTTTTACAATTTTCACTTAGACAATACTGTTAGCTACAATGCTTCAGTAATGCTTCCATTCTCTATACTTGAGCTGCATTGACACTTTTTAACTGAGCTGCTTCCATTTTAGGCTCGGTGTCTAGTGCAAACAGAGAGATATTTTTAAACAATCTGAAAAGTGATAAATTAATGGAGCGTTACGCGTCAAGTCCAAAGACAAGTTTAAAGCGAAATATCGATGTGTCACAAGACAAGCCAAGACTAAAGATTCAAGCTGCCTTTGATTCTCCGCAAACCTTCAACGATATGGAAATGGATGACCTCAGTGCAAGCAAAAAGAGTATGCTAGAGAGACATGCAGAAATTGTAAGGACATCCAGCAAAAAATTTGAATCTGATCTTGTTAACTGTATGGAGAATAACACGCAAGCTACATGGAAACGAGAGAAAATGAAAGAGGCACCGGAGGTTTTAGTTTCTGGTGAAGACACTTTGAAGAGGAAGGCCAAAAACTCTTTAAAGCCTTTTCCAAAATTGGAAGTGTTGAACTGGGCAGATTACCCGGCAACTGCATCAAAGCCAGGTTCAAGTGCTGGAAGTCCCCCCTCCTCTCCAAAGACGTCAGCCTCAGCTCTAAGCGATAATAATGGAAGCAGAGCCACATCACGTGCTTCACAAGGATCAATGACGTCATTAAATAAGTATCCTTATACTGGCAGATCAGGACATGCTCCTTCAGTGTCATCTCGTCGGATGTCTCAGTCATCATCGATGATGTCATCTGAGCTTTATCAATCGGAGATGGAGCCATCTGTGTACAGCGATGCTGCTTCAGAGAAGAAAAAACCAAAGAGCAAAGCACTTCCTCCTCCAATTGATTTGGATGGATTAACAAGTGACATCCTGTTGCAATGGGCAGAGTCCGTTACTAATTCGTCACCCAGTTCTAGTGGATCGTCATCGCCTAGCAGAATGAGTGCTGTAAGCAGTGATGGCTCGTTTTTAACCGATGAGGATTTCGCACAAGCTGTTGCTGCTGTTGTTGAGTGTGGTGGATTCATGGACTTCGATTACTCCCTCTCGAACATGCCAGGTTTGCAAGCTCCTCCCAGTCGTCCGACACCAACAGATCGGCAGCACAAACTGAAGATGGAAAAAATAGACGCAATGATAGCATCCAAAGGTAAATCTAGCCGATCTAATGCTGCAAACCAGCGAATGAGGCAGGAAACTTGTTCACCGCCATCTGTAACACCGATTTCTTTCAGTAGCTACTTATCAAATAACCCTAAGCGGACTGGAGCCAGCAGTCTGTCAAATGCTCCTTCCTCAAGTAACAAACATCGCCAGCGGTCGTCCAACCAGGCTGCACCTAGTGACGCTTCAGGACTCAGATTTGGCGGTAACGAAGGTGAAGTTCCAGCATCATTTGGGACTCCACTGACAATGTCAAATTTGCGACAACATGATTCCAGTCTAGGACGGGAAAAGAAGTTAACAAAGCCATTAACTATATCTAACCTTAAGCAGCACGATTCTAGTCTCGAACGAACTAAAAAACCCACTGAAAAAGAGGAGATTGATCCAGGAGATGAAGTTTTTGATGACAGTGTCAAAACTGGCCTATCAAATGGCAATGTCGCACAGCCATTGTCAGTTATATCTGCCTTAGAGCGGAACGAATCCTTGGGCTCGACAAAGGATTCTAAATCAAGCATAAACAGTGAGATTGAAGGGAGGGGAACAAGCGAAAGAAGAAAGGAAAAAAGATACGTCGTGAATTTGAATGACCCTACGTCCAGCACAGGGACAAGTACTGCAAGCACCGTAAGAACGTCGCAGGATCAAACAGAGTGTTAGTAACTCACCTTCTCTGGTTGCGCTGTTCTTTTCGTCACAAAAGCCCTTCAATTCAAACCGCATTTTTCTCACAGAGAAAAGGGCTTCTTTATGTAGTTTTTCTTTTCTATTTGAAACGCAATAGACATAACAATTTATAGCAAAATGAATCGTCATTATAATAATATTATCGGCATGTCCAATTTATACGAAAATATATATTTATTAGCGTTAATGGTGGTAATGAGAAATGCACGTGTTTAACAAACATTCGAAGCTCGAGGTAACTGCCCTTTTGATTTCGGTAGTTTTTGCAAAAGCATTGACTCACCTTAGGAAGAAGCAATGATGGGCCAGGGTTAGACCTCAATTCACTTGATTGCAGATGTAAGTTTCAGCACTTGTCTTTGATGCGAGTGGTTCGACATGTTGCTAGTCTAGCTTAAGTGTTTCTTTTACTGCGGCGTTATGCATCCAGCTATCTTATATAGAGTATTTCCATATAGCGTATGAATTGACTTCAAAGATTATATTTCTTTCATTACAAAGAAATCACCCCTCAATGCCCGAGTTACTAGAACGGATTTGTGTTTAGAAGCAGGACTGAGGCTCTTGTATAGGTTAATATTTATTTTAATAAAATTTTTGCTTAGTGTTAATATATTTTATTCTGTATGGTCCTGTTACTGTTAAACAGAATTTTAACTAGTTAGATTAACTACTTCTCAATTATGTTCTTACTTTTTATGGTCTTCGTTTGACGGCTAGTAAGCGCTATTGTTATTGTGCAGAATTTTAAACGTCTTTTCACAAAGCTTATAGTTTGAGATATACGCGAGTTTTCTTTTCTGGCCATGCCTCTAGCTTTGAACTTAAAACTAACATTTTTAAGAATATCCCAATTCTCACGTTTCGTCACTTCCGCTTCGCTATAACAAATTATCGAACCTCTAGATAATCTGTTGGACAATAGGTGGATGACAATTCCTACCTAACTGAAATTACAAAGATCTATTGCTTCAACTGACAATGTTGTTTTTGGGCAAGTTGTTAGGACAGACAGTTTGGCTATCTGCTTCCCTGTTGACGCAAAATGACTATGGAAAATTTAATTGGGCAACTCCATCTGATCAAACTGAAACTTTCTAGCCAACTTTTTTGGGGATTTTTTAAGGACCACCGCGAGTCGATGTTTTGAAACAGCAACTGAAGTAGTATTCTTTAATTTTTTACAAACTTTAATAGATGTTCGGGAGGTGAATTGAAAATCAGCTAAACAGTGCCAAAAATGTCAGCAATGCTCAATAAATGCAGCAGAGACGAAGAAGATGAAAGACTGGATGCTAATATTGAGGTTGCTGCGCTGGAGCTTTCTGGTTACCATAACTACTTGTTGAAACCATAGACAGAAACCAGGGAGGGGGCCCCCGCTTTTCAAAATGCGGTAAAGCAACTACCTACAGATTGCAGACATGCCCCCCAAAGACAGGTGCTCTTATCTTTACTACATGTGCCGCCAGGAATCCCCCCCCCTAGTTTTCGGAAGGATCAGTAGCGGCGCCACAGGGGGACTGGTGTGACACGTCCCCCCAGTTCTCGGCAGGGCTAATATTTTATTGCGTCTAAATTCGATGAGAAAATGTTAGGGGAGAGGTTATATTTTGACAACGTGCTTTTTGTGATGTAAGCCAAAAGTTAATCATGGGCATTCCCTTCAGATAAAATTGGCGTTCCCTGTTGGGAAAAAGTCGTTTTCTGTAATAAATAGAGCGTAGCCTCAATTTTTTGTTTTGCTCCCCCTTAGAGCTTAGTGCCTGGCGCCGCCATTGGGCAGGATCAAGTTTGTATTCCATCCGAATCCGATGAGAAAATGTTGGAGGAGGGGTGATATTTTGGCAACGTATTTTATTTAATGTAATCCTATGATTTTCAAACTGCCTTTACATAGCTAAAAGTTAGGCAAGGGCGTTCCCTTTAAAGGAGAACTGACACGCAAAAATGACTTTAGCTTATTCTATGCAAAATTTGCCGCTGACTTCAAATCTGGAAAAAGTTTTCTTCTAAGATTCACCGTTTTCTGATATTTGCACTTTTATCCGTCAATTACGTCACAGCCAGGACTCGGGAATTTCCCGAAGCGGAAACAAGATTATCGCCAGGAGTTGTTAAAATTCTCGGTTGACGTCACAAGTGACATGTTAACAATGCCGTTGTAAAGGCTTTCACCGCAACGGTGAAAGTACAAATGAAGTTTCGTGTTTTATTGAAAATAGTCCGCGGTGAAAAGACAAAAAATTGTCAGGCATTTCATTTATAAGTATAAAAAAGCTAGAAAATCTTAGCTACATGTCTGCTAGGACGCCAATATCCACATAAAATTTATTTTTTTGCCATGATATCTTCGAACCAGCATGCTTTGAAACATTGAAAGAACCTCTAAGCTTGTGAAAAAAGGAGTCGACTTTGTTTGAAAACTGATACCGTTTCTTCCAAGTTTTTACTTTTATAATTACTAATGAAATCGCAACATGGGGGAGGGGGGGATGAAGCAATAGCCAAAAGACAACGAAATCCAGTGGAGACGGCGGTAAAAGCGATCCTGCAACCTGCTTTGGGTGCAGAAATATGAATTCAAGAAAAAACCTTGGTTGACGGGAGCTGCGAGTGTGACTAAATAATAATTTCACTGAACTTGATTATCGTATTTTAACAGAGGTTGAGATACTAGGAAATAACCTAGTCTTGAGAAAGACCCAAGTCAAAATTGTTTGCAAAAGAAGATACTGTGCCAGTTGATATTCCTATGACAACTAAAAATCATTTTCTTCGACTAAGAAATCAAGTTCTGTGACTAAGAGCTAAGAGCCTATTTTGTAGATCCAGATTTTTCAATAGCCTTAAAGGTAATTCCCGAAACCCTTCACACCCGGTGAAAATGGCTTATAATCCGCACAAGTGAGACTTTCAACCCGCCTTTACTATTTAATACCACGATACAGTTAACGAGTTTGAAACATGGAAAAACAATCATAGAATGCTATATTGATAGTGAATAACTTGCAGTTCCGTTTAGGGCATCATAGGCATTTCAGCGAATTAGGCCATACAGACAAAGCAGTCTGGACAAAGACCCCTCAATCTGAAATGAAATTCTATTTTTACGATACCTAATCCCATTTAGATTGTAGCAATAGCAATGTTTTTAAAAGAAACTCCATATCAGTTTGTACTTCCAGTCTGTTCTTTGTTCATAATATCGTCACTGTTGAGCCATGGAACGACTGTCTGCCCAAGCGGCAGCGCTGGTTGGTAGCAAAAACTCAGACGGCTGAAATTTTCCATTTGTTTCGAAATCAGTGTAATAAAACTCGGATTCAGAGTCCCGAACCATTGAAAAAGTCAATTATGTGTGAAAAATGCAAAATTAGCTCCTTTCAGAAGCACAAAATAAACATTTGTCCGCAGCATTTTCTTAAAGGTTTCTATAGAGAAACACAATACGTGCTGAGAACATGTCACTTGTGACGTCAAAGATGATCGCCCACTCGTGACGATTTTCGCCTCGAGTCTCAAGTTGTCGGAACAATTGTCGTTTCTCAACTTAAAACGCCTGTATTTCAAAAACGGTAACTGTGATTTAAAAATTTTTTTCGATCCCGGAATTTGCTTGTCACAAACTACCGTTTTAGCCAAACTTATTTTTGCGTGTCAGTTCTCCTTTAAGTGAAATTGGCGTTCCTTGCTAGTTAAAGGGCGTTTTCTGGTGACAAATAGAGGGGGGCTTAAAAGGGCGTGCCCTAGCGGCTGGGGGCGCCATTGATTGCAGGTATCTGGGCAGAAGCAAATGAGAATGTCTGAAACATTTTTAGGGTAAGTTTTGTGTCGTGGAAGTATTTAGTGGGGAAAATGAAACGATACGATAGGATCCGATACATAAAACACGATACAATACAATACAATGCAGTATAATACAATACAATACAATACAATACAATACAATACAATAGATTTTTTAATTTGGACACAATTACATGCAACAGCATCATGAAATACCTCTAAACCTGCAATATCAGGTAAATGTGTTGCGAAGTGGATGGGAGACTGACAAAATTAGTTGAGACTTTTTAAAGAAATTGATATTTTCGCTTTCCTTTTTCCCCTTCCCCCAACTCAATGTTGAATGCATGATTTTGAAGCAAAAGTGATAGAACTATAAGTCCAACTTTGATCTACGGGGAAGGGGGGATTCGAATTTACAAGGGCAACGTAAAGAAGAAAACTACAAAAATTGCATTTTGTCCCAACAATTTGACTGGGATTAGGCTAGACCTTCATTATTTGCAGATACTTTTGTAGTTTTGATATTTTGTCTCTGTTCATAACAATGCAATTCGCTAGCAAAATTCAAAGATTTCATTTGCCATATATAACTCAGATTCTATAGATTTAATCAATGGATTCTATAGGTTTTGCTTTTTTGAAGTATTTCATGGTGTTTTTTAAGGCTATGCAGCTAGAATCCAAAAATTCTAAATAATATACTTTTATGACGTCACACTAAGAAATTAGTAATGAGTCACCTCGGCTTTGATATCATTTAATTAAAAAGATTGCCGATTAGTTTACGATACATTTACACATTTTCAATGGTATTAAGAATGTTTAACGTCCAAGAAAAATCCCTGGAAATCTTTAGAAATTCCGAAGAAATCCAGAAATCCCTGTCAAAACTTTTCAAAGATCCGAAAAAACTACTCAGGATTTTAGGGATTATAGAAACCCCAAATATCTTGAACGCTATTTCAGGTAGTGAAATCTTTATAAAAATGCTCTGCACTGCTTATGTCGTGCTCTATTTTGCATGTGTCGGCAAAAACTATCCCTTCATAGTCTATTCAATCCAGTTGTTTCAATCCAGGAAAGCACCACAAAAATATAGAGGCACAGAAGATTTGATGTCAGGCAGGAGTGTTTATTCACCCTGGGCTGCTCTTTACTTGACTTTCTACAAATGATGTGTCTGATAAGCGATAAATCGATAATGAAATGAAAAAATTTGCTGGAAAAATTTCTGTTCTACATCACAAACGAAGATTCAAAATTTTTACAATATGTGGTAAATGCTTTGAGACCTACCCTTAAAAATTTAAGGGTTTGAAGTTTGTGGCACTGTATTACAGTAGGTTTTCCACAAAAACGTTTCCCTGTCGGGCAGAGAATTTTTGTGGCCCGCGAGATTAGAAAATATCATACTCTAGTTTTCCGAGGGGCTGCAAATATTGAATGAAACACATCGATTCAAAATTAGATTATCTAATATCTTCATCAAACCTGGGAATCATGGAAAGATTTGTTCACTATCCGTTGTCACGAATTCATCCTGCTTAAAGACAGGACAGCAGAATTCTCGAGGGACTTTCCAAGATTGCTCTCATGATAGTTGAGTATGGATCACGGGTGTTCCTATCCAACAGTCTTACCTATCGCTCCAAACTATCTATGTAAAAGAGAGGTTTTTAATTGTAGTGTAATTGAATTTAAATGAAAGTTTTTCATTACTATTGTTATCATTTTGTTACAACTATTGTAATTGTTTTTCTTATTACCTTTGGCCTGTTTAGAGAAATTTTGGAGGATCTCACCCAGTCTCCAAAAAGCTTGTCCACCCCTGCTCTACATCAGTGTCAGGGGTGGGCAACAATGTCTGCGATCATTGAAGGTCTCTGCAGGAGCGTAGATAGAGGGGGGTCAGGGAGCCAAAACCCTCCTGTAAAGCTAAATAGCTATTTTGTCGGAGAATTTCTGATCTTGTCGGAAATAAAACATGGTTT